TTCTCTACACATATGAAGAAGTTAAAAAAAATAGCTTATCCGTGTCAAACACGTACTTGTACCGAACACTTGATTCGAGTCAGAATAACAAAGCTTACTTCAATTATATTGGTCATAAGAAGATATTGAAGAACTCAAAAGGGTGGAAGTTATTAAATGATCAATGGCGGAGTACTTCTTGAGGCGGGTAGCAATATCTTTGAGGATGCTAATGAAAGGTGTGATTCCTATGCCAAGGCCAACCATTACCACGATATCATACTTGATGTGGTCTTGAGAAGAAGCTCCATATGGTTCATCAATATAGATTTTTGGATACTGCTTTGGTCCTGTTAGTTTTGCTAAAAAAGGAAAATAAAAGATTAAAAGTTGAACATACATGATACATATTCATACTCGACATTCATACCCGCGAGACAAAGTAACATAGGTTAATTCAAGTTTTGGCTTGCTATTTGAATACAAAACCTATACCTTGTTTGATCTATATTACTCAGACTCTTCATTTTTCTTATAAGTAACATGATATGAATATAAGGATATGTTATTCAAGGGATCCGTCTGTTGGTAAAAAATGGATGCATGACAGCCGGCGGCTAGATAATTCAACAAAAATTAGGCTACCTAATTTTGTTGAATTTTTTGTTGAATTTAGCATGAGATAATTACCAAATTTAGTCCCTGGACTTTAGGGTATTTACAAGATTAGTCCTTAAGCTTCAACTATAAATACCCTAACTCATTTTGCTTCAAAACCATTCCAAAATCATTTCTTTCTCCCAATACTAAATAGTTTAGAGAGTTTTTTGTGAGTTGTGAGTGTTTTGTAAACACCTATAAATTTTCTCTCTTTAGTAAAAGATCTGCAGCAGTCTAGAGACGTAGGCATAATTGGCCGAACTCCGTTATCAATTTCGGGTATTATTTTTTCGCTTTTATTTCGCATTCTCACTAATCTGATTATAGGGAAATTACTCGTTTAAATTTCTCAACAACTGGTATCAGAGCTTTTGGTGGTGAATTTTGTCAGTTTTTCCGTGAGGTTACTATTCACATAAATAGTGAATTTTGTGAATAGTAAAATTTTGTTGACGATACGAATTTATCGACGGAGGTGTTATAATACATGGTGGTTCACAGAAATTGTCAAAAACGATAAAAAAGAAGCCAGATTCGAGTGGGAGCGATGGCTGCAGACGAAGGGAATGTGAAAATTGAGAAGTTCGATGGTGCAGACTTTGACTTTTGGAAGATGCAGATTGAAGATTTTCTGTACTAGAAAAATCTATATCAACATCTTTCAGGAAAGCAACCAGAGGGCATGAAGAATGAAGTCTGGAATCTTCTCGACAGACAAGCCCTCGGAGTTATCCGACTGACGTTATCCCGCAATGTTGCTTTCAATATAGCAAAGGAAAAGACCACGGCGTGTCTTATGGCAGCTCTCTCTAGTATGTATGAGAAGCAATCGGCCTCAAACAAAGTTCATTTGATGAGGCGATTATTCAATTTGCGGATGGCGGAAGGGGCATTAGTGGCTCAACACCTAAATGAACTCAACACAATCACAACCCAGTTGAATTTCATGGAAATTAAATTTGATGATGAAGTTCGAGCTTTAATTCTCTTATCATCTTTACCAGACAGTTGGAATGCTAATGTTACAGCAGTCAACAGCTCATCGGGAAACAGTAAATTGAAATTCGACGATGTTCAGGATCTGATATTGAGTGAAGAAATTAGACGGAGATAATCGGGTGAAGCATCAAGCTCCTTAGCCTTGCACACAGAGTCTAGAGAGAGAACTTCAGAAAGAAATCCAAATCGTGATAGATCGAAATCTAGAAGGGGAAAATCAAGAATGTGAAAGAAAGATTTTAACTGTTATAATTGCGGCAAGAAGGGTCACTTTAAAAGAGATTGTCGAGCACTGAAGAAAGATATCAGCGCACAAGAATCTGCCAACGTAACAGAGGAGACAAGTGATGCCATGATTCTAAGCGTCAATAGTATGATTGAATCATAGATCTTGGATTTAGGGACATCTTTCCACTCCACCTCATGCCAAGAAATCATGGAGAACTATGTTAGTGGTGATTTTGGGAAGGTTCATCTAGCTGATGATGAAACCTTGATGATTATCGGAAAAGGAGACATCCGATTAAAGTTGCCAAACTAGACCACCTGGAGGCTGAAAGGAGTGAGACGTATTTCTTGCCTTAAAAGAAATTTGATTTCTGTAGGACAGCTTGATGGAGAAGGATATCGTACAACCTTTTAAGGCTGTGAATGAAAGATTACCAAATGAGCACTTGTCATTGCTCATGGTAAAAAGAATGGTACTCTCTATGTAACCTCAAATTTGGATAATATCATTACAGTAGCAGATGCTGATGGAAAATCAAACCTATGGCACCAAAGGCTTGTCCATATGAGCGAGAAAGGGATGAAGACACTTTTGTCAAAAGGGAAGCTGTCGGATCTAAAGAATATAGATGTCAGACTATGTGAGGATTGTATCTTTGGCAAACAAAAGAAAGTCAGTTTTGCAAAGATTGGCAAGACACCCAAGGCTGAAAAGTTAGAGTTGGTTCATACTGATGTATGGGGACCATCTCCAGTTCCATCTCTTACAGGCTCACTATATTATGTCTCCTTCATCGATGATTCTACAAGGAAGGTGTGAGTTTATTTTCTGAAGAAGAAATCAGAAGTCTTTGATACCTTCAGAAAATGGAAGGCCATGTTGGAAAATGAGACTGGTTTGAAAGTCAAGCAGCTGAGGTCTGATAATGGAGGAGAGTACATAATAGTAGATTCAGAGATTTTTACTCAAACAATGAGATCAAGATGGAGACAACAGTTCCCATGACACCACAACAGAATGACGTAGCAGAGCGCATGAACAAAACTCTAAATGAACGTTCCAGAAGCATGAGGATACATGACGGCTTGCCCAAATTGCTATGGGCTGAAGCTATCAACACTACAACTTACCTGATCAACCGTGGGCCCTCAGTTCTCTTGGATGATGGAATACCAGAGGAAGTTTGGAGTAACAAAAAAATAAACCTTTCACACTTAAGAGTGTTTGGTTGTATTTCTTATGTACACATAAATTTTGCTGAAAGAAGTAAACTTGATGCCAAGTCCAACAAATGTGTCTTTGTTGGTTATGGTAGTGATGAGTTCGGTTACCGATTTTGGGACTATGAAAATCGAAAGATCATCAGAAGAATAAATGTCATTTTCAATGATAATGTGATGTACAAAGACATGTCAACCATAGAATCAAGTAGCTCCAATACCGAAGCTGAAACAAAGGAATTTGTTGAGTTTGAGGAGATTTCTGTAAATGATGTTCAGATTAGTCCTGAAGCAGTTCAAGAAGAACCAGACACACTAGAACTGAGACGCTCCTCCAGAATTCCTAAACCAACCCAGCGTTATTCGACTTCTTTGCACTACTTTTTGTTGACTGACAATGGTAAACCAGAGTGCTGGTGGAGGATTCAGTCAAGTGTGAGTCTTCCATGAAAAATGAGATGGACTCGCTTATGTCAAATTAGACGTGGGAATTAGCTAAATTACCACCAGGCAAGAAAGTGCTCGATAACAAGTGGGTTTACAGGATCAAAGAAGAGCACGATGGGAGAAAACGCTATAAAGCAATATTGGTTGTCAAAGGTTTTCAGCAAAAAGAAGGTATTGACTATAATGAAATTTTCTCTCCAGTATTGAAACTGTTTACAATCAGACTGGTGTTGAAAATTGTAGCTGCAGAGAATCTACATCTTGAGCAGTTAGATGTAAAGATAGCTTTCCTTCATGGTGATTTGGAGAAAGAAATCTATATGAGGCAGCCAGAAGGCTTCATAGAGTCATACAAGAAAAACCTGGTTTGTAGGTTGAAGAAGAGCTTGTATGGTTTAAAACAAGCTACTAGATAGTGGTACAAGAAGTTCGATAGTTTCATGAATAGCAGTGGTTTTACCAGATGCCAAGCATATCATTGTTGCTACATCAAGAAGTTCGACAACATCTTCATTATTTTATTTTTGTACATTGATGACATGCTCGTTGTAGGCTCAGACATGCAAGAGATTATAAACTTGAAGCAAAAATTGTCGAAGCAATTTGAAATGAAAGATCTAGGCACTGCAAAGCAGATTCTTGAGATGAGGATTAAGAGAGAGACAAAGTCGGAGACTTTGATGTTATCACAGGCTGAGTACATCAACAAAGTACTCTCCATGTTCAACATGCAAGATGCTAAACCAATAAGTACACCTTTAGGTGTTCATTTTAGACTCTCCAAAGAATAATCACCAAAGACAGAGAAAGAACGTGCACACATGGTGAAGGTGCCGTATGCCTCAGCATTTGGAAGTCTGATTTATGTCATGGTTTGTACTAGACAAGACATTACTCAAACAGTGGGAGCTATTAGCAGGTACATGAATAATTCGAGCAAGGTACACTAGGAAGCAGTCAAATGGATCCTTAGATATCTGCGGGTTCCACAAACAAAGCATTTTGTTTCAAAGGTGGAGATACGATACCGACATGCTATGTAGATGCTGACTTAGTTGAAAATATTGACATCAGAAGGGGCACTACAGGGTAGGAGTGTGCATTATCGGATATCAGATATTATCCGATCCAAATTTTCGGATATCCGAAAATTTCGGATACCTAAAGTAATTATCCGTATCCGAATATACGGATCCGAATCTGATTTTGTTTTTGCAAAAAATTCAAAAAAAATAACATAAATTAAAATATTCATATTTAATTGTTTTCTAACAATTTGTTTATGTAATTACATGCCCCACTACATTTAAAATTTTAAATAACATAATACAATAAAATAGTCCCCTAAATGTTAAATATCATAAAGTAGTGTACATTAACAACACAATAAAAATAAACAATCACAAGATATGCAAAATAAACATATTACAATAAACCAACAAGTCATTAACTAGCACCATTCACCCTTACCTCACAAATTTGTTCAAGATTGAAGGGGGCAACCTTCCTGCAGCAGCTATTGCTGTAATACTAGCAACTCTACTAATTACCCTCAAAATTACCCAATTGTCATCCATCATAGACCCTGCTAAAATTTTAGTTCCATATAGTTCAGAAAGACACGAAGTATATATATTTTTCATAGATTGAGGGTATATATAATAAGCATTTACATATAAACATGCAAAGTTGAACATGACAAAGCTTAAATAACTATTGATCAAATTGGTACGAAAGGCAGAACAATGATTATTAGCAACCCAATCATATTAGTATTAGTAAAATAAAGTAAATCTAAATAATATTTTTTAATAATGGATTTTTAAAAATTAGATTGATCAGCTGATTCGTATAATCACGGTTAAAAAAATAACATTTAACAGATCTAAAAACTCGAATCTTAGCATTTGCAGAACTAATCCACCTCTAATCATCATTCAAAATATGGATAATCCTAAAAGAAAACACCCCAAAATCTCATATCTAGAAAACAATTATGAATCGAGTTAAAAGATAAAAAAACCCAGGAATCCCAATGAACAAAGAAGGTAACAGAGACAACAAATCGAATAGATAGAGATCATCAGAGACTAAACAAAATAAATAGAAGAACAACTAACATAAAGGAACATTGCATCAACCATCTCCTTAGGAAACGAAGGGAACAACTCAATATAACGACTCCCCAGTGTCATCCTATCCTTGGCTATTGCGGCTTTCGAATCTTCTGCATTTGCAAACTCCACAAATGCCTCTCCATTTGGCCTCCTCTCTGAATTCAACACTATATGAATTGCATCTTCAGATAACACAAAATCTTTAAAGAAGTCTATTATATCATCTTTTCCAGCAGAAAATGGTAGTCCCCTCAATCTCAATATCCCCGTATGTTCAACAGTTTCCTTTGCTTCATCGCTAGATTTGGCCCTTGAACCATTTCTGCAAGGTGAACCACCACGAGCATCAGCCACTTCATTAGCTATTGCATTATAATATTCGTGTCTCTTGCTTCTGAAAACCTCTACATATCTCCTCCCCATGTTTTGGATGTTCTTTTGAAGGGCAAAATCAACCTGAAGAGGATAACCCAATACACAAAAAGCTTCACCACTGAACTTGCCATTTTTATCGAAAATAACAAAAACAAATTCGGATTTTTGGATAATTCGAAAATTGGTTTTTACCGATCCGTATCCGATCCGATAATCCGAAAAAAACTTCAGATACCCTATCCGAACTATCCGAAAATTGGAAAACGGATCGGATATCCGATTTTTCGGATCGAATCAACGGATTGTCAGATCGAATCGGTCAGATCGGATTTTTTTTGCACACCCCTACTACAAGGTATGCCTATACTCTAGAATGTACTGCAGTGAGTTGGGTTTCTCAACTACAGAAGATAGTTGCTCTCTCTACAACTGAAGCAGAATATGCCGTTGTTACGGAAGCCAACAAGGAGATGGTTTGGCTCCAAAGTTTCTTGGAAGAGTTATGCAAGAAACAAGAAAACAATATCTTGTATTGCGACAGTCAAAGTGCTATCTATCTAGCGAAGAATTCGTCTTTTCATTCTAGGACGAAACACATACAATTGAGATATCATTTTACCCGGTCTCTTTAGGAAGATGAGATTTTGAAACATGAAAAGATTAGTGAAGCTCAAAATCCGGCAGGCATGTTGACAAAGACGGTGACTACGAACAAACTGAAGTTGTGTTCAGCTTCAGTTGGCATGCTAGAATAACAAGACTATAAATGCTGCTGCATTGATCGAGGTGTGAAGACAGATTAAAATCAGTCTTCAAGTGAGAGATTATTGGTTAAAAATGAAAGCATGGCAGCCGGTGGCTAGATAATTGTGAGTTGTGAGTTAGTAAAAGATCTACAGCAATCTGGAGACGTAGGCATAATTGACCGAACTCCGTTATCAATTTCGGGTATTATTTTTCTACTTTTATTTCGCATTCTCACTAATCTGGTTATAGGGAAATTACTCGTTTATTTCCCAACACCGTCAAATACATGAAAAAAGTTTACCTCGAATCAAACACACATTCGAATTCGAATAATATTATATATATTTACCTCTTGGAAGAGACTATATAGCTGATAGCTCCAATCCCCAAGAGTTCTGATATGCACACTTAAGTAATCATCTTCTGGTCCACAAGTTAGGGAAAATGAGTGCCTGATAACCAAAAACAGTAGTATAATATCATTCAGGGTGGTGCAGAATACTATTGAACAATAATTAGCTTGTAAAATATCATAATAATACACATCATGGTATGTTTTACCATTCGAAGGGTGAAACTTGGGGGCATTGGATGAATATATACATGCCACTATTGTGCCTAAAACCTTGTGGTTTCCTCAGTTTGAGAGACAACACCTTCCCTGGATATAAGCTCACCTGCAAATTGAAAAGGCTTTTTTTTAGTAACATTTTTATGAAGGTCATAATATGCATATTGTGGACAGAAAACGTTTCAGAAAAATAAAAAGAGATGCATCCGAGTTCAATCCTACTCTGTGTTTCAAGATTTACTCTATTAATCTCTCAGACGAACTTATAAAATTCTAGAGAACAAATTTATAAAGAAGGGAACGAAAACAAATTATCAATAGAAATTTGCGTTATATGAAGCATACCTTCAAGATTTGCACTTCAGAAAACCCTGATCTTATAGCTCGAATCATCCTCTCTCCAGCATATAGTAAAACCAGTATGGCAATGTACATCCATGTCTATGTAACAACATTCTTAACATCAAAACTCATGGCGTAGTTAATCAAACACAAATACAATTATTTTATGAAAAATCGAATATAAATATCGGATGTAAATATTTTATGAAAAAATGAAGAATCGGAGTAACATTGTAATGTACTTCTCTATAGTAATCCTCTATTAACTATGTTACTAGGAGTCGGCTACAAATGCTAAATATGAGTGTTCGGCACGGATATTTGAAGAAAAATGGCATGGAATTTCAATATTTAGGAAATCAATGACTTGTATCATAACATAAACTATAAACAGTCTTCTAAATTCATAAGATTCTTACCGTTTTTTCAAATAAATTACCTGTGAGGAAGAGGAACATTGAGTGAACAATGAGCAAAGCATACACCAGAACAAACAGATGGTGGGAGTACCGGAACGTATTATATTCAGTGACCTTCCGGACAGATCTAGGAAGCGACCGAGACCGGCGTTGAGGCCACTTGGTCGCTAATGTAAATGCTATCATCATCAAGATCACCATGGCAATCCCGGTTGCAACCTCAGTTGTGGCCAATATCTGGAAATATGACGGTTGCTGGTACCCAAATCCGGCTGCTATAGTTTGTAGAAAAACCGAACAATCCGATCCACTAATTCTAGGGTAATCACAGACCAGATGTGTGCCCCCATGGAGAATAACACCAATCACTATGCCTCCTGCAATTAGCTGCAAAACGGAGCTTTTCCACATTGAGTTCCAAGAATTCTAACTCGAAACATTCTGTCGATGTAAGGATTGTCGGACTATGTCCGAGTCGAGCATAATCCGACAATCCTTGTACCTACTATATACGAGGAAAACGAGGACTTACTTTGTGGAAGTTGATGTTGTCGTTGAAGGCAATAATGGAGTTAAACCCTGGATTCTTGCACAGCCATGTGATTGTATTTCGACAAACGGGCAGAAGAATGAGAGCCATGTTGAATTTCAAGGTCTCGGCGGCTCCCTTGGCTGTGGATAAACAATACCCCATAACTTGAAATGCTGAGCGATGGCTGTACTGGATGAATTTCATGTGAGAAGTGTAAAGCAAATCATCAACCACAACACAATTATCCATGCCCATCTCCAGTATGAACGAAACAAGATCTCGGCTTTTGATAAAGACTCTTGCTTTTGTTGATGATGATGATGACGATTCTTCTGATATGAAATGGTTGAGTGAGCCTTTTGGTAACTTAGCTTTGAACAGAGCTTCAAGATCCGATGGCTAAAACAAAAGCAAAATGATTATTATCTGTTGAAATAGAGAGAAGAGTAATGAGAAACAATGGCTTGAGTTTTCCATTGATTAAGAGTGAATATATATACACAAAATTGGACACATAGAAATAGGAAACTAGCCTAGAGTTAGGGGATTACAACTAATTACAAGGCATAGAAATAGGAGACTAGCCTAGAGTTAGGGGATTACAACTAATTACAAGAATATTATAATTGATTACAATAATTTAAAATATAGATAAAATCTATTATAATTAATTCTCTAATATGCCCCCTCAAGATGGAGCTCCAGAGGAGACACCAATCTTGACCCTTAAATCTTGGAATCGGCTTCGTGGAAGCGGTTTGGTAAGAGCGTCGGCAAGTTGATCTGCTGAGGAAACATGAGTAACACGAAGAGCACCTGATTGAACTTGACCCCGAATAAAGTGATATTCAAGTGCCACATGTTTCATGCGCGAATGAAAGACTGGATTAGAACAGAGATAGGTGGCACCAACATTGTCGCAGTAGATAACAGGCGGTGTAGAAAGAGTGATGCCAAGTTCTGTGAGAAGGGAACAAATCCAATTGAGTTCAGAAGTAGTAGCGGCAACTGATCGATACTCAGCCTCCGTGGAGGATCGAGCAACTGTACGTTGTTTCTTGGATGACCAAGAAATAGGATGACGACCAAGATAGACAATATAGGCACTCGTTGAGGTATAATCATCTTTGTTTCCAGCCCAATCATCATCTGAGAATGCATGAGGGGAAAGTGGATTTGCCTTGTGAAGGAATAATCCATGAGTTAATGTGCCACATAGATATCGAAGCAGTCGTTTTGCAGCATTCCAATGTTCAGACGTCGGGCGATGCATGAATTGAGAAAGCTTGTTGACAGCATATGCTATGTCTGGGCGAGTGAGGCAAAGATACTGTAGACTGCCAACAATTGTTCTATATTCTGTGCAGTCAGTTAGAGCTGTACCTGAATGAAGTGTAAGATTTCCATCTGTAACAAGTGGTGTAGCAATAGGTTTTGCACCAATCATTTTTGTCCGGGCAAGAAGATCAGTGATGTAGCGCCTTTGAGTAAGCAGCAGACCGGATGAAGTAGTTAGAACCTCAATGCTGAGAAAATAAGACAATGTGCCAAGATCCTTGATTGAAAATCTTTGTGCCATGAGGTCAATGTAGCGCTGAATAATATTGGTGTTGGTGCCTGTGATAATAATGTCATCCACATAAACAAGTAGATATATAGTAGTGTCACCTGAGTGAAGAATGAATAGGGAAGTGTCTGCTTGAGAGTTTGTGAACCCAGACTCAATGAGGAATTGGTGAAGTTCAAGGTACCAAGCCCGTGGGGCCTGCTTGAGTCCATATATTGCCTTCTTTAGTTTGCATACATGTGTTGGATTGTCTTTATCAACAAATCCTGGAGGCTGGGCCATGTAGACATCTTCGGAAAGATGGCCCTGAAGAAAGGCATTATTAACATCCAATTGTCGCAATTGCCAACCTCTACTGACTGCCAGGCTTAGAACAAGTCGTATTGTTGTCGGCTTGACAACCGGACTAAAAGTGTCATGATAATCCACTCCAGGTATTTGATGAAAGCCTTTGGCAACTAATCTAGCTTTGTACCTGTCAATAGAACCATTAGGAAGCCGTTTAATACGAAAGACCCACTTACATCCAACAAGATTCTGCAGAGAAGTAGATGGAACAAGCTCCCAAGTTCCATTCCGAACAAGAGCATCAAACTCATCATTCATAGCTTGTCTCCATTTGGGATCTTTTAGGGCTTGAGAAACAGTATGAGGCTCAATGTCTGATGGTTGAGAAATGATAGCAGTGAGGTTTATTTTGGTTAGGGGTTTATGGATGTTGTTTTTCGATCTAGTGGTCATGGGATGGGTATTTTGATGGGTGGGTTGCGCTATGATTGAAGCAGAAGAGGTCTCAGAATTGTGTGGTTCTAGTGGTAAATGGCCGACGATGGTTTCTTGGCGATTAACCGAGCTGTGTTCGGGTAAAGGGAGGTCTATGGATAGGGATCGACGGTCGACTGATGAGGAAGGGCAGTGGTCTGTTTGGGTATTTTGTGATGGATGTTGACATGAGGAATCCCTTTGTGGAGGCGTATTGAGTGAGCC